GTATCTTATTTTTTTTAAAAAAGTAGTTGTATAAAACTAGGGATCCAACTACAAATGCGACCCACTTAAAGTCTATTCATACAAGTAATTTTTCTATTCAATTTGATTATAAGATCGCTTATATATCAGACAATCATATTATGATTATTAATCAGCATAACACAGCCTTATTACATCATAGTACATATACTTTAAACTTTTTTATACTTCAATTTTACGACAAAAATATACTGCACGTGATCCTGAATTCTAGATTGGCTATGACCCAAATATTACTCTGATAGACCTGAAAGAAAGCCCTCAATTCAAATAAGTAGCCTATTAAATTTGAGCGAAATTGGCTTTTATTTATTTGTAGAAAAATAACGTTAAAAACTGTCACAATGTAGTATAGTGTACTACTGGTAGTATAGGTAAATCCAACCCATTAATTATTATAATATAACAGAGTAAAACCTGAGTCACTAGCTAGTAAAATCCGAGTTAATTAGTAAAATCCGAGTTTATTAGTTAAATTTGAGTTTATAAAAAAAATAAGTAAAATCTGAGTTTATTAGTAAAATCTGAGTTAATTAGTAAAATCCGAGTTAATTAGTAAAAATCTGAGTTTATTAAAAAATATAAGTAAAATCTGATATAAATAGGGTGAAATCCACTATTAAACAATAACTGTTCTAAAACTTTGAATGAAGATTTCTTGACAACCACCTGATCAAATTCAATGAAAATTTATATATTTAAAATCTATAAATTTATAGAATTCAAATAAAAAAATTTTCAATAAATTTGATCAGGTGGCTGTCAAGATATCTTTGCTCAAAGTTTAAGAAAAATTTGGCACAACTTCTATTTTAATAGATGTTTTGATTTTTTTCTATAATTTTGAGCAAAGATATCTTGATAACTACCTAACCAAATTCGATAAATTTTTTTTTATTTGAAATTTATGAAATTTTTATTGAATTTGATTAGATGGTTGTTAAGATATTTTTGCTCTCAAAGTTTTAGAAAAAAATTTGGCACAACTTCTATTTTGATAGATGTTTTGATTTTTTTCTAAAACTTTAAGTGAATATATTTTGATAGCCACTTGACTAAATTCGATGAAATTTTTTTATTTGAAATCTGTAGATTTATAAAATTCAAATAAATAAATTTTTATCAAATTTTATCAGATGGTTGTGAAGAAATCTTTGCTCAAAATTTTAGAACAGTTTTTGTTTAATAACAGATTTCACCCTATTTATATCAAATTTTATTTATTTTTTAATAAACTTAAATTTTTATTAATAAACTCAGATTTTATTAATAAACTCAAATTTTACTTATTTTTTTTAATAAACTCAAATTTAACTAATAAACTCAAATTTTACTAATAAACTCAGATTTTACTAGCTAGTGACTCAGGTTTCACCCTGTCATATTATAATTATAATAAATTTATATATTATATATAATATATATTTACCCAATCAATACAGGCCAAGCACGAAGCATTGAATCTGTGGTAAAATATAAAGATTCCCAATGAGTTTTTAAATCTGCCTCCTTTAATTTTCATATCTGTGAATCTTTTAATAAGCAATAAATGACTTAAATAAGAAGAATTAAAAAAATGGCTAATTTTTTCACAATTTGCAATTAAGTTTTTTAATTGATCTAATAAGGGCAATAAGATTAATTGCATGTGCTACACAATGCACATTCCAAATATGTGGATATATTTCTTGTGTTTTTTAACGTGCTAAGTTACAATTTGAAGCTACATCTGTTACTACAGCTACAAACTTATCTGAGCCAAGTCTTTCAACAATATTTGATATTTTATTTGCTAAAAATTCACCCATATGAGAATATGAAGAATAGTTTTTTAAACCAATTAGGTACTCTTTTCATATATCCATTGTAATAATATAATTATAAATCAAGTTCATTGTTGGTAATGTCCAACCATCTAAAGCTTTTAATAAATTACATATTTAAATTAATAAATTAGTAATAATAGTATATTAAAATAATACAGTAATACGTATAGATCTGCATATTATTTGATTATTGTAAATATTATATCATTATGCACTAATAAAATTATATTGATAGTGATAAAGCATATATATTAAATTTACAAATTGTATTATATAACTTATATCTTGAGTAAAGTAAATTTTTAATTAAAAAATTGATCATTTATTAAAATTAGATCTTATAGTAAATAAAATTATTGTGCTTTTGTACAAAGTTATATAATTTATGAAATATACTTCACTATATATATAAACCTAAAAAAAGACTCTTTCTAGTTTACCTCTGAAAATCAATTGTAGTAGTAAAAAGTAAACAAAGCAGCACACAAAACTTGTAACAAACTATAACTAAAGAAGCAAAAACTGGGTCACTCGGAACAACAGCTAAACAAACAATAGCTAGCAAGCTAATATAAAGCATGATTAAGAGGTCTAGAGATTGTTTCTTTGCTACTTCTCAAACCTTTGAGCTCTTCTTTACCTACAACAGCCACTCTGCTTTAACTATTATAAAACCTCAAACTAATTCACCCAATTTACTACCTACTTGCAACCAAACAATTGCTAACCCGCCTCTAGCAAAAAAATGCAAAAAAACACAAACAACAAAGATGCTACCCAAATGGATTATTTACCTACAACTTTTTCCACTACCGCTTCTTCACTACAATTACAAAAAAGTGAGCAAAACACTATAACCCCTGACAACAACAACCAGATCAGAGCAGGGGACCTTGCCCTAACTACTGTGAGAAAAACTGCTGACTTTCCCACACTAATTACCAAAACAAACAACAGACCCGATCTGACCCAAATTAATACAACAACAAATCTACAAACCCAGAACTACTTGGGTCTATCTATAATCCCACAAACTAATAACGTAATAGTAACCAAAGCCAATCTACTTACTATAGATAATGTTGCCAAACTACCTGATCATACTAATAAAGCCTTACATAATCAAACTATGGATACACAATCTAATGCCATAACCGAATCCTTACTTTCTAAATCCTACACACGGGCTTTAGTAGATGATAACCAACCTAAGCCAAAATGAAAGTTTGCAGGTTATAGGGATTTAGCATGGTGCATTGCAATCTTCACAGATCTCACTTTACAACGAACCAATAAATTTGATCACACAAAGTGACACAATGATAACATTATTGCTACTTTCAATGATATTACACAACTTCAAGAATTCTTTGTACACAAAATTACCACTGTTCCTACAACCCATAATATACCCTCAGCAATTCGAGAAAAGTTCATTCACATGGACACTGCATTCTTTAAATCATTTATTTGGAACACCACACAACATCAAAAAGAATTTGAAACTAGGGTTCCTAGGTTCAGTTCAGTTCAAGTTCAGGTTCAATAAACCTGAACTGAACCTGAACCTGAACCACAAATTT